TTGTAAAACATAACTGATCTCGGGGTTGGGGGGAGACTGAGAAAGATGGGTTCAATAATATATACTGTGAAACAGATGAGGGAGAAAACTGTTTAAAAGGGATATGTGACTAGGTATTTTTGTCGTGACAGGAGTCCAGAGTGAAGGCTGCATAGTGGAGTGGACCTGAGGGACGGTTTGTAAAACAATGAAAGCATTTTTCTTTTACTTTTCCAAGAGGGTAGTGTACTGGGGGGGGGGGTTGGGAGGGGAGAAAAGTACAACAATGAATAAATGGAAATCCAAAGTCTCTGTAAATTTTCATTGAAATTAATAATAAATTTAAAAACAAAAATAAACCCTATGGGCTCGTTCTATTCAGTCCTACAGGAATGCAATGAGTTGGAATCAGCCTGAGACTTGACAATACCCAGTATTTCTCTTATGGTGTTGTCCATTCTTTCTTGTTCAAATCCACTTAGAAGGATATGTGTCTTGATTGTTGTTTATGAAACTCTTAATTTTGAATTGCTGTTATCCCATCTGACCCTTTTTAAGTACTAGACACATTGGTAATCTTATTTGTCAGTACAGTATGCTGGATATTGTATAAATGGTTATGTGCCAACATATATTGCAGATTTTAAACAGTGAAAATCATGCATCTTATCATGGAATATATTCCTTGCTGCAATGTTTATATGAAGTTAAGTTCTTTTAAAGTGAGAATTAAGTCTACATTTTAATCACTAGAAACTTTTAGTAGAAAAAATGTATTGTCCCTTCCTAAGTAAATATATGTATTAAGAATCATCTTCTTAAATGTATGAGATACAACTAAAATAACAATGAAAAACACTCTTACTACGTAGCCAAGAAGACTCATAAATATCTTGCCCCACCAAAAAATCTTTTGGTTTTTTTTTTGGTTTTGGTTGAGGTTTTTTTTCCCTGCTGATAGGCACTGAGCCCATTACCATAGCAACCAAAGTTGGTTGGTCTGTAACTAGATGTGAATTTTACATACTGTCATTTGAAATGTTAAGGCTGTAAGGATAAAGTGCACTTTCTATGATATTTGGAAGGAACTTTTTATCTCAAAAATCTGGTAGAAGTTTCATCAAGATATCATTTATTATTTATTTAAACAGATAAACAGATTATTTGATACCAAATCTCTCCCTGCCCCCAAAAGAAACATTACTACTGCATCAATTCTGGATCATGGTGATTCTCCAGCAGATTTCTGAGGTTGTAGATCTTTAAGGCAGAAAACTGCCCGTCTGTCTCCCATGGAGCAGATGGTGGATTTGGTTAGCACTACAACAGAGTGCTGGTAAAAAGTCAGAAAAGCCAAAGGAACACATAGCCCTTATCTAAAGGACTTTTTCTAATAAAGTCAGCATGCTATAAATAGTATTCCTGGAAGCACAACACTGCTTTCTTGAGGAATTTTCCATCACTATATGCTTGGAAGCAGGAGTGGCATCCACTTCCTAAACAACATGCCTCTGGAAACTATAAACTTTGAGAAATGATAATTAAAGAAGGCTTCAGGTCTTCCGTTTCATAGGGTTGCTATGAGTCGTGCTCAACTTGATGGCAATCAACAACTACAGCAACAATCACTATGCGCATACTTTGACCGCATGGCCAGGAGGGGACCGGTCCCTGGAGAAGGACATCGTGCTTGGAGGTGTGGAGGAACAACACAGGAGAGGAAGAGCCCTGATGAGATGGATTGATACGGTAACTAGGGTAATGGAGGTAGGTGTGTTGTAGTCAGTCAGACAGGCTCAGGATAAGATGGGCTTCAGAGCTGTGGTATACAGGGTGCCTACGAGTCATGGGCGACTCAACGGCACATAACAACAATCACTATACATAGATTACACCTACTCCTCACTTAGGAATGGTTATATTATGTTGTGAATCTAATTGTTGTCCCCGAAATATGTATCAAGTTGGCAGGCCCATGAAGCTCAGTGGTTGCAGTTATCAATGATGTAATCATCTCCCATGTTGTGCTTGGCCTCTTAATTATAAGAGGATTAGAGTGAGATGCAACACCTTTAATCAGGTCACAGCTCTGATCTTCTAAAAGAGAAGTTTCTCTAGAGTTGTAACCACTGAGTTTAATAAGAGATTGCGCACAAAAAAATAATTTCTTCATATTACATCAGATTTAACTGCTTTCTCAGCTGAAGCACTTGCTGGGGGAGTTTTATTTCCTGCGTACTTCAAAAGTTAATAGTTTAAAAGTTAACTTCTCTTTGAGATTTGAGTAGTGATAGCAATATTAATCTTCATTTCTTTTCTCCAGAGACAGAGCAACATGCAATGAGGACTCCCTGTGACATACAGGAGGAAGCCAGCCAGCCTCAGGATGACAATAGTAAGAGCTGGGTAGCATAAATGGGACATGAAATTGGCTCAACAGAAACTAGTTTAGATTTTGGGTTTACCACAACCTAATGTGTACCCACAACTTCCCAGGACACCTAGGGACCTTTCCATCAGGCCTAGAAAATCTTTAGAAGCTAGTATCCTTAATCCTTCCCCACTGAAAGCGTTATCATCTCAAAGAACTCCCCTTCTAAAAAAACCTTCTTTTTAAAGCTACCTGACTTGAAAGGGAGCTCTTTTGGCCTAGTGGTAAGGAGTTGTGCTGCCAACTCAAAGACAAGTGGTTCAAATCCATAGTTGCTCCAAGGGAGAACTCTGGGCAATGTCCTCTTCCCCTGTGATTTACAGCCTCTAAAAACCCACTGGAGGGTCAGCCAGGAGTCAGTTCGGACTCACCAGCACATAACAACTTTTAAAGTTTTATATCTTTGACTGGTGCTTTGTAATTTATCCTACACTGGGTTGCCTTTTGTCAGATACACAGCAATCCTAAAACTGATCTGTATGTCTGACATTACCAAAGTTTAGCCAGTCTTCCAAGGAGAGATTAATTGGTGTCCCGGGGACAAATTGTTCCAACAAATCCAAACTCCATCTCTCCTTCCTACTCTGTTCTGCCACTATTAAGACTTAACCAGTCCCAGGGAACATTAGAACAGATACTTTCAAGAAGAAACAAAACTGTGGAAGGTTTAGGGGAGGGAAAGGAAGCCATAGATTAATGTGACTAAATTTACCAAATATCTCCTACTGCATATTATAGAAATTATACATAAAGGTAGATCTACCAATATATCCATCCTTGACCAATGAGTCCTGGTGGCACAATAGGTTAATCACTGGGCTGTTAATGGAAAGATCTGAAATTCAAACCTCTCCAAGAGAAGATGCAGCAGTCAGTCAGCTCTCATTACAGTTTGTAACCTTACAAACTCTCCAAAGACATAAAGCCTAGAGATCCTCTCTCCTCTAGGTGAACCTTTGTCTTATAGGGATTGCTATTAGGGTTGCTATTACAGAGGCAGTGGATTTTTAGGTTTATCTTTCCAGAGCAGGTGGGTTTTATGCTCAGAAAGTTTACCTTCCAGCAAATGACACTCAACAAGAATTTGGAACTCCTAGTGAATTCTTGCCTATACCTTTAACTTCAACACAGCATTTCCAATATACTCATCTCAGTCCATTGTTAGACTTATTTAGCAGAATTGTTCCAAATATTTACCAAAACAATATACATATTATACAACTATTTTCACATGCTTGGCATTGGGTTCAATTAAGCAACTGTTTATTAGCAGGTGTTCTTCAGTGAGTGAGAAGACCTCATGGTATAAGATTTTGTAATCATCTCCCAAGGGTCTACAGTTTAGTTGAGAATGCATCATTTCAGTGTAGTGTGCTAAGTGAGAGAGAAAGTTGTAAGTAACAGAGGGGGCATAGAAGAGGGAGAAAGAAGCATTCTGGAAGGATGAGATGGATGAAGGATAACTTTCAAAAAGAGATGTTGAAGAATAAAAAAATTAGTTTTGCCGAAGCAGGACGTTTCAAATAGAAGGGATATGCAGGCAAAAGCAAAGGCTAAAAGAGCACTGGACAGTGAACTTGACTGCAAACTCCTTGAAGGCAGTGAACTGTCCTTAACTCAGCATTTTCCCCCAACATTCAACAGAATGTCTAACACAAATGGTTACTTCTTCACTGATTAGTGAAAGCATGAAGCAGGCTTGTGGTGAAATCAACAAGCGATTTGAATACTGGACTATCAAACAAGTGAACAAACTTGTCTTGGAAGACTTTCACCCAGATTGCTACTTAGAAGTGATGATGGTGAGATGCTGTCTTCCTTTTGTCATGTTAACAGGAAGGACTAGTTCCCTGGAGAAGGACATCATTCTTAGAAACTAGAAGGTCAGTGTTAAAGAAGAGGATCCTCAACAACGTAACTGCAACACATTGAGATAGACCCAACGATTGGTGAGTGCTGAGACCTTAACCACTGTGTGACCAGGGTGCCCTTGAGCCTAGCTATTGTTTGCTGGGTGCCACCGATTTGAGCGACGCTGTGAACGATCGGAACCCTGTCCTATCCTGTGCCGTCCTCATCATCTCTGAAACACTTGAGCCCATTGCTACAGTCACTGTGTCAATCCATCTTTTGGAGAAGACTAGTTTAGCACTTTGGAAATCAGAACCTTAAAAGTGATTGCAGGAAAATAAAAATCTACAGCATATGCAAAATTTCAAAATTCTAGAAATCTGATCTAAAGATGCTAAATCAAAAGTAGACAAGCTGTAAAAACAAATTAAAAAAAGGAGGCAAGATCTTAACTCTCTAAAATAGTTGATGACTTGTTGAGATAATCGCCTTGAAGTGGCAGGCTCGTTTCCCCAGAGATTTTTAAAGCTGTTTAGAAATGAAATAACATTCAAACATAAACAATCGAAAGAAATTTATTTTGAAGATGTTGGTTTCTGTGATTAAAGCTAATGAGTACATCATATGGATTATAAAAATATTTTCAATATATTGAGTCAAGAATGCTGTGGACTTTTTGTTGTGCAATGTAATAGCCAGGAAATAAGAAGTTATGTTCTTTTTCTTTTTAGCTAGTTCTTCAGTAAAGCACATTAGTGACTTCCTGAAAAGGAAAAACAAATACAATTAATTTTTTAAAAATACAAGTATTCCAGTATAAAATAAAAATTTTATAAAAACAGGAAAACAAAAGATTTTTCTTTAAAAAAAGTGGTTATAATAGTTCACATAATTATTTTCTTAATTTTAACTTTTCTAGGATTTCATACTATCTCTAATAGGACAAAAATAATATGTGAAAATTAATATTTCTAAGTTTGCCTATTTTATGTTAGAATTGCAAGGGAGCTCTGGTGGCCCAGTGGTAAGAAACTGCACTGCAATCCCAAAAGGGACACAGTTTGACTTCACCAGCTGCTCCATGAGAGAAGGACAGACAGTCTCCTCCCATGCAGTTTACTGTCTCTGGAAACCCACAAAGGGTCAGCTATGATTCGGTTTGCACTTGACGGTACACACCAACAACGTGGCTGTTGTTGTTGATTACCGTTGAGTCGCGCACAACTCACAGCAACTCTATGAACAGAAGACCTAAAGCCTTTCTATAAGTTTCTCCAAGTTCATAGAGTTTTCATAGACTTGTGGTTTAGGAAGTGGATGCCACTCCTGCTTCCAAACCTGTTCTGCAACCTGGCTACAAGGACAAAAATAATATGTGAAAATTCATATTTCCAAGTTTACCCATTTAATGTTGAAATGAATAATGCATATTTTGGTAGAAATTTGGAGGAAACATTATTTTTAGCAAGTTCAATTTTTCTTCTCAGAAGCATTAAAATAGCAGGTCTTGAAGAACTCACATAAAATGAACATAAAAATTTCACGCTTATGTGTTTTGTTGCTGTTACGTGCCATTGTGTCGGAATCAACGCCTAGCTGACACTGCAGCAGCTTTCAGAGGCAGTAAAGCTCATGCGAGGAGAGTGCCCTTTCTCCCTCACAGCAGATGGTGGATTCAAACTGTGCTCCTTTGGGTTGGCATCATGGATCCTTAACACTAGGCTGCCAGCCCCCTGTGCTCCCTAATGTGTATTAGTCGTGAATCTATGAGTTCTCATCATGAACCTACCCTTCTATATTCAGACGTGAGAGGCTATAGCTAAATGTTTACAAAGCACGCTTCTCCTTTAACAGCTACTTCCCATTAGTTTCTGCCCTTTGAAGGGAAGCAACAATTTTCTCCTTCCTGCTCACTGGCTGTTTCTGAAACTTCAGCAGTAGGTTTCTGCCTCCTTTAGTTGGCCACTCCTCCACAGAAACTCTAACTCATTCATTGCCTTTGAGGTGGAACCAACTGATAGCTGATGCTCCAGTAGATTTTCAGAGGCTGTAAATTGCAGGGCAGATTGTTTTCTCCAGGGAGCAGCCAGTGAATGTGTCACTCGCAAAATCAACTTTATTGTGTCCCCTCACTCTCCCTTCTTTTAAATTTGTTTAAAATCTAGTTGACACTTTAAAAAAATACCATGTAAAATTCTCTCTAAATTATACTGCTGTATCTTGGTGATGCTTTAATTTGATTAATCTGTCAGTCTTTACTTGTTCCACCGTTAGAACATCTGCAAACTGATTAATATCTGCCAGTGAAATGCTTTACAGTTTGCCCGTAATCTCCCCACTCAACATTTCCTCTAAATCAAGGAAAAGGACTTAGCTGCTTTTAAAATTTAAACTCCATTAAAACATCTTAAAGACCCTTAATATATAAAGTATATGTTCTTATCTTGCAAAAAAAGACAGATTTGAATCCATGTTGCATTCTAGAATGTTGTTCTTGTCAGATGCCACTGTGTCAAGTGTGACTCACAGCGACCCTATGAACAAGTCTGAACCCGGTCCTGTCCTGTGCCATCCTCACAAGGAGCGCTGGTGTTAGGAATCAAAATGTCTATCCCTGAATGAACCGAGTGAATGTGAGTGACTCTGGAAACAAAGAACTCAGGACTTGTTCTTCAGGGTCCCGTTAGACCTGAGAAGGCTTTCAGTAGAAAAGTGAGACCTTAAAGGAAAGACAAACAGGAGACATTGTTATGGAGAATCGATGCCATGGACCAGATAAAGGGATATGGGACTTGGAGGCAATGGAAGTATCTTAAAATTAGCAGCCTGAGGGCTGAGAAGTGTGGCGTTGGCATGCACTGAGATGGCACAGCATGTGGGACAAGAGCATGTGAAAGGGGAAGACAAGCAATTCTATGCTCATGTGTATAGTTGGAGATGCTTTTTCACTTCTTCATTCTTCACCGTTCCTATTAGGGCCTAGTTCTGAAGGCTCTTTTCTCTTGCTCTTTAAATCTATAGAGAGATTCTTATAGTTCCAATTTTAAAGTACCACTACTTGAATGACAACGACCTTTTTCTCTGCTCATCCCAGCCCAAAGAGACCTCTGTCTCCTCTTCACCTCCCCAATATTCACTGTTTTGATCTGTCTCCTATCTCCAGTAACAATATCTTGTTTTCCTTTGGTGAGAGCACATCTCCATCACTGTCAGCCCCTCACCTCACATGACCCAGAGCAAGATACTTAGGACACTGAATGTCAAGGTCCCAGTGATGCCTGTAAGAATGGACATGTGAGCCAAATCAGGGTGATGGAACAGATTTGGGATTATTTATTTTTTTAACTATTGAGAAAGAAGATAGCTCTGGTGGCCTAGTGTTAAGAAGCTGCCTTGCCATCCCAAAAGCACACGGTTCTAATTAGCTGGTTGGCCTGCCGGAGAAGGATGGGCAGTCTCCTCCTGTGCAATTTACTGCATCTAAAAACCCACGGGTGGGCCAGCTATGAGTGGGTTCTGATTTGATGGCACACAATAACAACAACCCTCTTGCAAGGGAGCTCTGACAGCCTAGTGGTAAGAAGCTGGGTTTCAATCTCAAAGTCATGTGGCTCGAATCCACCAGTTGCTTTGCAGGAGAAAAACAGGCAATCTTTCCATGCAACTTACTGCCTCTGAAGACCCGCTGAAGGGTCAGCTACAAATTGATTCCCATTCAAAACCACTTAAAAAGAGGTTGGCTCTTTCGGCAGTAGCTGCCAGGCTAGTAGAATAGAAACCTGAAGGTGTCAGAGGCTGGTGTTGGTTTGAAGGTGAGGGGAGGGAATTTGTCAGAGAGGGAACCTAACACTAGAATCCTGCATAGAGACAAAGGTCTCAGATGATTACATATGAGATCATGGATCCAGCCATAGCAGAAGTTAAATTCTTTGCAGCCTCTTGGTTAAATGAGTCCATTTTACTACCTAAATCACTTTGAGCTGAGCCTCTGACCTTTGCAACTGAAAGAGTGCTGACAACCTTTCTTATACTGAACATTCTTGTATTCCACCATAGCGTGTGAATACCATTTCCCGTGGTGTGGACTTGTCTTCACCAATGAAGCAGTTACCTCCTCACTGCTGGAAACTGCGTCTTTGTGAGCCCAGCAGTACCATGCACAAGTGCTGCACAGCACGTTTGCACTTGGTAACATTTACTGGTGCCTCAGTATGTAGGAACACAGATGAGGAAAAAAAGAAAGAAACGTACTTACATTTAAAATCAAAACTGCAGCCATAAATATTTCCAAGAGCAGCACTCGACCAATGAGGCAGCTAATTACTGTAGTCATGTGGGCATCTGGACCCACAGTTGATGCTTTGCTGCTGCTGCTGCTGCTGCTGCTGCTGCTGCTACTGCTGCTGCCACCGCTGCCGCTGCCGCTGCTGGAGACAGTCTGCGTTAGCAGACTGAACGCCCCTGACTCAGCCCGAGCAACACCAGCCAGGATGAATTCAAGAGTATAGGTTTTCCCTAGGAGAGGGGAAAAAAGCATCATCCTTTCTGACTAGGTTTATGAGTTTATTTTTCCATACAGTTCTAATTTGGTTTTTATTTTCTCAAACATACTGTAAAGAGAAGTATTTTTAGAGAGTGAGTTGAATGATTCACACAAGTATAAATAAGTAAGAGTTGCAAGAGTTAGAAAAGTTCCACTTTCCCATCAATGACAGGCAAGGAGGACCTGGGTAGATTTTCTTGCGGCAGCATCAATAGCTGCTTCGTAGAGATTTATGGCTGGTGTCCTGGGCTGGAGATAAGTTCTTTGAAGACTAGAGGGGAGGGAGGGAAGGAATTATGTGGTGTTAGCTTGAAAGTTGGCTTTTCTTGCCTTACATTTCCCCCCTCTGGTGTCCAGGTACCTTAACTGCAGATACATGATCTTGCAAATCATCAACGGCTGTGAGACTAGGATGAGAGCGTGAGTGCTTCCCACACTGAACAACAAGAGTTGAGGGAAACCAGAGTGAGAATGTGGTGGCAAGACCTTGGTGATGGTTATGGAGAAACTGTGGCATTGCCATGGAGAAACTATGGCAAGGTTTAACCAGAGAAGCCCTGAGATAAAAGGCCACACTTAAAGGTTTTACTGTTTTTAGTATAGAATGGAAGGAAAAACTCATGGCTGAACTGAGATTAAAGCTAAAATTGGACTAACTGAAGAACTGGGCCTTGGGACTGCTTGACTACAACCTGGATAATGCACTGAGTTTTATTATTGGTCTCCCCAACTCTCCAACTTACTTCCCTAATAATTCCTACTTTCAATACTCCACAACTGTGAGCAAACTCTGTGAGTCAGCAATGAATATTGGTCCTGAATGACTTGTAGAAAGAGATGCAGGAGCATGGAGGGTGGCAGGTTTGGTCAAGCAGCTATCTGTTTGCTGCTATGGATATTATTGATGGGGACAGTTCCCCTTTTTGAAGCAGGTAGAAGTCGGCCTCAGCCACCCCCACCCCTACATCCCATCTGCTCCTTTCACACACTGGATCTCAGTTTAATCCTTGCAGACCTGATCTCAGAGTTGAGAAGACTCAACCTTATCCTCTGATGGGTAAATGGAGATACATACTGAACATCACTGTTATGTAGAGGGATACTGAACATCACTGTTATTCTAGTCAGGTCAAGAAGACCTGTCACGTCTAGTAGAGAGCCTTGGAAAGTCTTCTGGTAAAGTGTGCTGCTGCTTCTTCTGTAGTGGCTAAGCTGTGAGAACACAAATCTGAAGGTAACAAGTTCTACACTGAATTCTGGGGAGGTAGCACCTGCGTATGAGTGGCTCCTCCCAGACTCTGGCACAGAGGGCTCTCAGCAGAGTTCTAACAGCACCAGAGTCGCCCAGAAAGGAGCACAGTCAGGATGGGAAGGGCTGGAGGGCAGAAACTGGCATGTAAGAGCTTTTTGGCTTTTATCTGGCAGAGGGGCGGGGGCTTTTGCTGCTGCAGATTTGCTTGTGAACAAAATAATTTGAGAGTGGACCTTGATATTGGGGACTCAATCCAGATGTTATTCTTTTGCCTTCCTCAATTTTTATTTTGGAAAAATTTTAAATATACAGAAGAGTTGAAAGAATATTACAGCATTCATATGCATTCACTTAGATTCAATATTTTTTTTAATTCATTTTCCACATTTGCCTTGCATTAACTGCTGTTTGTATCTGTGTGTATTTCTGGATTGTGACCTATAATTACTTCAGATCTATACCAGGAGAAACACTTGAGTCTCATGTTCCTAATGTGAAAGGTAAAGATCTCACAGAAACATTTTTTTTTAGAAACATTTTTAAATTCATATATTTTTGAATACAGGCTATCGACGATATTTTCCTGTGGCAAAATTTCACTTGCCACCCTTCTGTTAATAGTAGTTACAATGCATATTAGACTCTCATTGGAATTCCTCTGACTGTTGTTTTTTTACAAACTTTGTGTGGGTGTGTTTGAGAAACCAGTGATAAGATTTAGGGAGTGGTGGCCTAGTGGCAAGAAGCTGCACTACAATCCTGAAGACACACACAGTTCAAATCCACCAGCTTCTTCACAGAAGGATGAGCAGTCTCCTCCCTTGTGATTAACTACCTCTGAAACCCACCAGAGAGTCAGCTAGCTATGGGTCAGTTCCAAGTCGACAGCCCACAACACAACATTATATAAAACCCTTTCAGAAAGCAGTGCTTCTAAAAGTGGACTCCAGGTTGGAAAAAAAAAAAAAGAAACAAAATAGAAGCCCATTTCAGGGATAACAGTTTGTAAATTGCCTTCTTTTAAATTAAATCCTCTCCATCACCAGTAGAGATCTCTTTTTTAATGTATTATTTTATGCCCCAGATTAAAAATCAATATTCATGGAGGCAGCAGTCCAGAAATCAAATGACCGATGGCACTGGGTGAATCTACTGCCAAGGATCTCTTTGAAGTGCAAAAGAGCAAGGATTTCACTCTCAGTGCTAAAGGGCTCCTGACTCAAGCCATGGTTTTTTTCAGTCATCTCATATACATGTGGAAGTTGAGTAATGAGGCAGGAACCCTGAAATAGAATTGATGCTCTTGAATTGTTGTGTTGATTAAGACTAGTGGATGCAGGTGAGCTCTGGTGGCCTAGTGGCAAGAAGCTGCACTGCAATCCCAGAGATATGTGGTTCAAATTGACCAGATGCTCTGCTGGAGAAAGAGGGGCAATCTCCTCCTGTACCAGTCAGATCCGATTTGACGGTACACACACACACACACACACACATAAAATTTTTTAAAAAAAGAATAGTGAATGCAACATAGACTGCCAAAATCTCACGTTTCTTAAGCATATTATCAGAAAGGAGCATTCTCTGGAGAAAGATGTCTTGTTAAAGTAACGTGTCAGCATAAATTAGTGGAAGACCCTTAATAATGGCTGTAATGAGGGCTCATGAAAGATGATGAGCAGGGCTATAGGTCAAGCAGTGGTTCCTTCTGCTGTGCTAGGGTAGCTGGTCACAGCTGACAACATTTTGGCCACACTAAGACCTTTAGTAAATGGATTTATGTCATCAAGTCATTTACAAGAAATGTTAAAAATATCACTGTGAAAGTTAATGGCTGTTATTTCTTGTTATAATGTTACAGATAAAACTTAGTACAAAGTCACTGAGTATACTTCATAAGAACTTGGAGTCTTTCCTGATCTCAGAGCAAGTTATAATTTTACTTAGAAACTGGTCTATGAAAAGTACGGTCAATCTCGGCAATGTTCTTGTTTTCTTCTTTGCATTGGCTTTTAGAAAGACTAGAGCCGGTTCTCTAGCTCAGCTCTGAACTTCTGCATGAGACATTAAAGTTATATGTTGTTGTCCTTCTTGGTTTTTAAAATCTTTATGTTAATTTTCTTATTATAAATTTTATATATAGTGAGAAAATTTAGTAAAAATGGACGTTGATATGTGTGACGGTATCAGAACTAATTCATAGCTGACCCTCGGGAGGAGATTATTTTTTCTTAGGAATACTTGATTCTCCTTCAGATCAACTAGTGGATTCAAACTACCAGCCTTTGGCTTGGCAGCACAACCCCTTACTCAGTAGGCCATTAGATCTCTCTAAACAAATGAGTACAAAGGAGAATGCAATTCCTGATAGAATTCTCCTATGCATACATTTAAATTATCTTTCTTCATTTCCTCGTCAGTGTTAATTTCTCTTTTTTTGCATGTTAAATATAATTGTTTAAGCAAGACTACATATTTAATGAAACAAAGCTGAGTAAAGTATTCTGAGTTCTGGAATTTATTGGCCAGAGTATTAGAACATGCTTTGCTCATTAAGGAAAACTATAACTATACCAATTTATAGACACATATTAATGCAAAGTAGTATACTTACCATTTCTAATGATAGTAAGGTCTGTGTAGTTGGCCCAACAGTTGCTAAATGGGATTGTTGTATTTCCACCCAAACCATTGATTTGGTTATTACTGGAGTCTTTTAGTATGGCCTTCAAAGTGAGTGAAGTAATTCCAACTGATACACAGTTACCCTAGAGGAGAAAAAAAAGTGGAGAAATATAACTATTGGCCATTTTTAAAAGACATGCAAATTTTCTTTTTAAAAATACCTCTATTATAAACTTAAAATTTAAGAAATCTTCCTTTACTCACTCAAGGAACTCATAAATATGAACCGTAGAGCAAGTTCATTTAAAAAGCACTTGGTTTTTGGTTTGTTTGGGTTGGTTTTTTTTTCCACAAAATAATATTTAATTCTTTCAAGATGATATCCATTGCCATTGTCACAATTTCAGAGTCAGTGTAATTCTCAAGTAGGAAGAGCATCAAGAATAATACAGTCGGCTATCTAGAGTTTACAGCTGATGTCCTTCACTTAAATAAAGCTGTATGACTCACCTCAGAATCGACTGCCTTTACTGAGGGCTGCTGGGAAAATGGCTGTCCTGGCTGGGCTGCCACTGGCTGTGTGACCACTGCGAGTGAGGCCACAGGTGCCACATGATGGACAGGAAATGCAGACCGTTCAACTGGCTGGGTAGTCACCTGTAAACGGACATACGTGAGAGTCAGCAACTAACGTATCTTAGCCAGGCTGATGCTAAGCCCTGCTTATTACAAGCTGTGTTCAACAATGTCAAGTGAACATTATTACAATTTTCCTTCCAATCAATTTCATGAAGAATTGTTATAGATATCAAAGCAAAGAACACTGTACCAATAAAGTAAGTTTAAAATATATAGTCTTCCTTTCTAGTTCTTAAGTGTTTAATGATTTAATAGAAAAATAGCCAATGGCAAATTAGAAGGACACTAACTTAGTGTCCTTTCAAGTACTGTCTAGAAATAGCAAGGAAAGTTAGAATAAGAACTTAGCAATGATCTTCATGGAACAAAGAGGACTTTTTTTTTTTTTTAAATTGTTGTCATTACACTTTCTTACCTTCTCCCAGTCAGAGTCACTTGGACTGGGAATAGGATTAGTAATAAACATGGAAGAGATATTAACTCCAAGGACATTACTGATTTTTCCTAAGATTACAGCTTGTCCAAGAGAATTGGCAACTTCTAGGAGTTCAGATAGCTGCATGTCATCTGTGGGGAAACAATATTGGAATCAATGGATTATCAGAATATGGAATTAGAATAGCATGTGAGTTTTTCACTTTAGTGAATTTTAGTTTTGTTTTTACTGCCCCACTCACATTATAGATTTCTAATGCTTTCCAACTGTACTCTGGCTAAACATGACGTAGTCTTATTGATGATGGTGGGGAAATGAAAAGCTCAGAATATATATTTTAAGATGGAATTAATTTTTAAAAAATATTTACAAAAAACGGAGACATAGTAGAAATATGTTTAAATTTAATACTTTTCTACATCTTTGTTTAGAAGTGAAATAATACATATGACTATCACTTTATATAAATTAAGGAAAAAAGTGTTGATTTTGGAGTGGAGACTAATTAGTATTTATTAAACTAGCAGTGTGTATACTGGTGACCTATTGGTAAGGATATGCACCACCAATCCAAAGGTACATAGTTTGAGTCTACCAGCTGCTCCTTGGAAGAAAGATAGGCAGTCTCCTTCAGAGTGATTTACAGCCTCAGAATCTTGCTGGAAGATCAGCTATGAGTAGTTCCAACTCGACAGCACACAACAACAACAACAACAACAACATAAGATGCTAAAGCTGTCACTTTGAGGATTAAGATGTTACTGACCGAAGCAGTGTTATTTTTCCTTGTCCATGCGCATGGGAAAGCTAGATTGTAAATAGGGAAGACCGATGAAGAATTGGAGCTTTAGTATCAAGGTGCTGACAAAAAGTATTGAACACTGCCTGGACAGTCATGTCACCGGAGAGTAAGGGGCCTTGAAGCTTAAATTTTCCTGACCACCAGAGATAATGGCATGGTTGAGGGCTGGTATTGTTTCACAAGAAACAAAGAGCATGTTCTTTGTACGTCTGTGCTTGTGACTTCACTATAATAATCCAACCCACCATTCTCTTACTGAGTCTCCAAGGGTTTACCCTTAAGAAACCAGCCACCGTTCTTTCTGCTTATAAAGCTAAGATCTAGTACCTCCTAACTCTCTCCACTCTAGACTCTTTCAGTTCATTAGACGTGCAAAACTCTTACCAACCATATTCTCAGCTTAAACACCCCTTTCCCTCTACTGCTCCTCTTTTCATTGATTAATCTCTCAGCTACAAGGTGACTTCTTTGAATAGACCTTCTTGGATCTTTTCTACATTAGCTCAAATTCTTTCACTAAATTTACCCATTGTTGCCATAACAAAGAGAGGCTGAGAGTCTTTAAAGACCTGAAATAGGTGGAGATTATAGCAGTAGAGAAGGGAAGCCTTCTGTGGGCCCTTAGAAGACCCAGGGTACGGTGTAGCACATTCAGACTTCTACTCCTCTTACCAGTGGTGTCATTAATCATGAACTGAGTGGGAGGATCTCCGATTTCTAATTCAACTGTGAGTCCTGTTGATCTCTTTCTCCGCAGACTCTCCCCTTGTATTATGTTGCTGATACGGATTTTGTCACTTGGTATCCTTAGGAACAAGGCGAGATTTTGAACCAGATTATGGGAACTATAAAAGTCATCTTCTGTTACAGCTGGCAGTTCAAAAGAAATGAATATGACCGCAGTAGTGTGGATTTCAACAGGTATAGTTCCCTTAACCAACAGGTAAAGCATCTGGTAGGTTCTGTTGAAATAATTTTCCCCAAGGACAGTGGAATTCAGAGAAGGAAGAAATTGTTCTATATAGGAAAAAAAGCCAAACAGCACAGTTAAATATAGTATATTAAATAGTATACACTATCTATTTTTAAAATTTATTATTAATTTCAATGAAAATTTACAGAGACTGTGGGTTTCCATTCATTCACTGTTGTACTTTTCTCCCCTCCCAACCCTCCCCCTGAGTAAACTACCCTCTTGGAAAAGTAAAAGAAAAATTCTTTCATTGTTTTACAATCCCTCCTCCCAGGTCAACTCCATTATGCAGCCTTTGCTCTGGACTCCTGTCATGATAAAAATGCCTAATCAC